AATGAATACATAACATGCTGGTCTTGTTGGTGGAATAAGCCCTTTGGAAATAAGGAATACATAACATGCTAGTCTTGTTGGTGGAATAAGCCCTTTGGAAATAAGGAATACATAACATGCTAGTCTTGTTGGTGGAATAAGACCTGTGGAGACCAGTATACAGAACATGCTAGCTCAGTTAACATAAAAAGCTCTTTCAAGGAAACAAATACATAACATGCTAGTCTTGTTGGTGGAATAAGTCCTGTGGAAACAAAGAATACATAACATGCTAATTTAGTTGGTGGAATAAGCACTTTGGAGAGTAGGAATACATAACATGCTAGTCTAATTGGTGGAATAAGCTCTTTCAAGATCAGGAAACATAAAATCCTAGCCTAGTTGGCGAATAAGCCCTTTGGATATACAAAATACATACCATTCTAGTCTACTTGGTAGAATAAGCTCTTTAGAGACAAGGAACACATAACATGCTAGTGTAGTTGGTGGAATAAGCCTCCTTTGATACACAGAATACATAAAATGCTAGTCTATTTGATGGAATACATAGCATTCTAGTCTATTTGGTGGAATAAGCCCTTTAGATACACACAATACATAGCATTCTAGTCTATTTGGTGGAATAAGCCCTTTAGAGACAAGAATACATAACCTAATAGTCTTGTTGGTGCAATATGTCATTTGGAGACAAGGAATATATTACATGCTAGCCTAGTTCATGGAATAAGCCTTTTGGAGAGTATGAATACATAACTTGTTGCCCTAGTTGATGGAATGAACCCTTGGGAAACAAGAAATACATAATATGCTAGTCTAGTTGGTAAAATAAGCCTTTTGGAGACAAGGAATATATAAATGCTAATTTTGAGACCAGGAATACATAACATGCTAGCCTAGTTGGTGAAACAAACCCTTTTGAGATAAGGTCTACGTAATATTTTATCTTAATTGGTGGAATAAGTATTTTTGAGACAAGGACTACACAAGATGTTAACTTAGTTATTAGTAAATTGTCTCTAGAAGTCACCGTGTTTAAAGAAAGTTTGACAGTTTTCAAAGAAAAGTTATTTTAATAACCAATTAATGGACATTAAAATTATGCATGCATTGAACTGACAAAAGTAAGTACAAACCTTTTGCTACAATTGAATATCATCACAGACTAATGTATCTATTTAAAACCATGAAGAATATGAGTCATCGATGACTTGTAGCACAGATACAAGTTTTCTAAAAATGGTTAGACATTTATTAAAGTAGACTTTAAATAAATGTAGATTTGTGTTCTTTGATTGTTTTCACACAAAAAAATCAGTGATTTAAGATATGAAAATATGTTAATGGAAAGCCACTATTTTGTTTCGTTATGATCAAATCATTGCTTATTATTGATTAATTATTTATTTTTCTAAAGTGGATTTAGCGCTTTTAAGTGTACTGAGATTACTATGGACTTCTTCTGCTGTTTCTCTTGGTTTCAAGATGACATTTCAGGTTCCATGTTGATAAAGGACTCAGCATTAAGCCTGAAACCTCATCTCCAAGCCAAGAAAAGTGGTAGAAGAGATACATAGCAATCTAAGTCTATATGAATTTGATGCCAAGGAATTCACCTGATGTTGATGAAAGCTTGTTGAAACATTGTACATTTGTTATTTGAAATTTTGTTTTTCAGTACCCATTCATTAAGCCATCTCCAAACTGTATTTAAGTCAACATGACTTTATTTCTGTTAGTTTGATGATTATTTAAATTAAACCATGCATTTGACTTCTTGTAGAATCAAAGGAGAAAAATATGAGTAAACCTGAACACTGATTTTATGCTCTGAAAACCAATTTTTTTCTTGGAATGAAAAGATATTTTGTTCATATATCTTAATGTGTATGGGCAGTTTTGACCAGCAGCATTATGCATGCTGTGGCCATTGCACTTTTGTCTTACCATGTTACAAGAACACAATATTTAACATTCATCTGTACATTATCAAGGATAACAAACATTATTACACAATACATGTACCTGTAATCATTTTCTTTTCACTTGAACTTATGAAACAGTATTGAATTTAGATAATTGAATTTGTGTAAGAAATAGTTTAGGCAGCCATCTGGAAATAGAACTAAACATGCTTTAGAAACTGCACTGTCTTGCAAGACTTTATGCTATCTTTAGTCTAGATTTTGTAACTTTACTGCAGTGTAAGAATACATTACATGCTAGCCTAGTTGGTGGAATAAACTTTTTGGAGACCAGGAATATATAACATGCTTGTCTGATTCGGTGGGATAAGCCCTTTGGAAACAAGGAATACATACCATGCTTGTCTAGTTGGTGGAATAAGCCGTTTGGAGACCTGTAATATGCTAGCCTAGTTGGAGGAAAAAGTCATTTTGAGACCAGGAATACATAACATGCTTGTCTAGTTGGTGGAATAAACCCTTTGGAGACCTGTAATATGCTAGCCTAGTTGGAGGAAAAAGCCATTTTGAGACTAGGAATACATAACATGCTATCTAGTTGATGGAACAAGCCCTTTTGCTAGCCTAGTTAATGGAACAAACCCTTTAGAAAATAGGTCTATCTACTATGCTAGGCTACTTGACTACTGTAGGTCAATTCTCCCTATAATGAACTCTAAGCAGATCTCAAATCACTTTTATGTATAGGTGTTTTGAAAAAACAAGTGTCACAGAATCTCGAAAGTTTTTTCTATAACAAGATGCATGTACAGAAAATATTTTCTTCATCATATTCAACTAAAAAACAGTTACTAACTGAAATATAATATAGGTTCTAATGAAGTGTCTATTGAAAAATAAATCTACTTCCCAAAACAAAATCTTTATTATTTTTCATTTGGTCACTGCATGAAAACAGTTAACTGTCTGTAAATAAACATATGTTTTACTTGGAGTTCAGTATCTTTGTGATTAATCTAAACAGTAATACATGTATATACTTGTAATATTTATAGTTGCATTTTGTACTTGTGTTAGTTACAAATACATAAAAGGTTTTATTTTTCCTTAAATCACTGTTTAATAAAAAGACAGTCTTCTCAAACGAAAAAAATATAGTAAAAGCTTTACATTTCAAATTTCTGGAAAATGGATTTTATATCATTTTTCCTTCTCTTGAAATGATTTTTAGAAATTAGTGATTTTGTTGCTGAGCTATTACAAAAAAACATTCATTTGCTGTACATGTAAACCAGTTTGTTTATAATTGTAGAGTAATTTTAATCTGATGAACTCCTTTACAAACTTTATTTTTCTTTTAGGGAATGATGTGCTCTCGTGGAAAATATTTGCTTTTTGCTGATGCTGATGGTGCTACAAAGTTTTCAGACATTGAGAAACTTGAAGAGAGTATGAAAGATTTTGCAGATAAGGTATAGATATGAGTGTTAATAAAGTACCAAAAATTATTCAACCGGTATGAAGAGGCTAATATTTTTCTTAATGTTTATGATGTTTCTTAAGTTCTATCAGGCACTGTCATGAGCGGCCACAGAAATTTCTTCAGGGGTGGGGTAAATGTCTAAACATACTTAACTGCCAGGGTTTCTTTCTTTGCCCATCTAAGCATTGGTCTGATTTTTTCTCACTTGCTCGCCTTTTATACTCCACTTAATTGCCTTTGGCAATATTTTTTCGTGACACTCCCCACCTATGTCAATATGCCCTCTATCCTGGTACTGTATATAAGCACCTCATTCAGATAATGTTATCGCTTTTTCTCAACAAAGCATCACTAACAAGTTTCCCAGTACAATGATCATTTGGAGATACTTTGAACATTCTCTTTGTTACCTAGTTGGTTATCGTAAAAAAAAAAAAAATTCTGACATGGAGGCAAATCAGGTCACTCCTATTCTACCTCTCATATCTAGCATCACACAGGGGTTGGGTCTCTCTCTCGGTTGTAGAGAGGTGAAGACATATATAATCGGTTCTGAGGTGTTCCATAAAACCATCTAGAGGCTGACTGAATGGTATTGCTGTAGTATGCTGGACTGCCGCTCATGGACTATCAAGAGTAAAGCATAAGGAAATCCTGCCCATCCCTGCTGATCATTGGATTGAATAACTTGGGGCGGTTTGCTTTGAAAACTTTAGGGAACTTGGTTCCCCTATTGCACTGTTTCCATAGCACTATTCCTCAGGACTCCCCAATGCACATCACCCCCCAGATCTTACAAGTGGAAGTCCTTACCACACCCAGTTTCCAGTCACTGGGATGGTCAGCAGAGGCTTTTCCTCCAGAGTGTTAGAGTGAATTCCTTCACTCTTGGAGAAGAGGGTGAAGTTGGGTCCTTCCTACCCATGTCCCTGGATGTTTTTTCCCAGATGTTGGTAGGAGAGGCACCAGCCTACATTGGAGCATACTCGTAATACTGGTTGAGATCTGATGCTCGGCTATCCGGTTGTGTTGAGTTTGACCCTTCTTTTTGAACAATATTGGTTCAGTTCAATGTTCGTGGAAGAAGGTCCATCGTCTTCTCATAATTCCGAACGCAGAGTGGTCCCATCCTGGCTCCTTGCCCACACATTAGGGGAGTGAGGATGAGTGTTAATAATTCCAGACCGGATGAGTTCGGTTTCCCTGGGTTGAGTAAGACATACACGATTCCGTCATTCCAAGCCTGGGGTATTGCCTTTTGGACTTCTTCAGGTTGAGAAGAAGGTATGTCCACTTCAGTGTTGCTTACCTTCTCGTCGCGATTCTGGTGGCTCAGAATGCATCACTCTATGGCTACAGGTTGGGATCTACTCATAAGTGTATATATATATATAGATTGCAGTCCAACTGCCCTATCCACAAATGTGGGATATATGGACCATGGCCAGTAGTGATGACAAATCATGTAGAATTCCACCCACAATACATGAATTAAGTTCTGGGTGAAGAGCATACCTGTTCTGTATGTAGTGTGGTTCCCCCACTAGGGTGCCAACCTTCTATTGACACACCCATGACCTATGCAGATGCTTTCTGTATGGATAATGCTCTCACTGGCCCTTCCACCTTATCAATATGGGATTCTAGATGTAAGTGTGAGAGGAGGTAGATATGTTTCAGAAGTTAACATTTTCTTAACTCGAAAATGTATTTCGAATAATACTTACCTCCTGTCACATTACTCCTGCCCTTCCTCCCCAATAAGAGGTGATGTTGGAGACTGGGATTGAGTCAGTCTTGAATAAGTGATCTGAATGAGGTGCTTATATACAGTACAAAGATAGAGAATGCATTGATGTAGGTGGACAGTGTCACAAGACAAATATCACCATGGACGATTAAGTGGGGTATAAAAAACTGGAGCAAATGAGAAAAAATCAGACTAATGCTTAGGTGGGCAAAGGAAGAAATCCTGGCAGGCAAGTAATAGCTGTAAGGAGGTAAGTATTATTGGAAATACATTTTCATTTTAAGAAAATGTTAACTTCTAAATCAAGGGTATATATATATACTAAATGAATAAAGAAATGTTTCTCATTTTCCAGGAGGACAGGTGCCCCCCACGGAAGCCCATAGGCACTGCTTTAAACCTTTCTGCTGTGGATTTTTGTTTTAAATATAGAGCATGGTGATTTATACAAGTAGAACCTCTAGGTACCCTATTTCCTGCACATACTTTCTGCAGTAAATGTATGTGTGATAATAATACAAGTAGACTTGAAACTATTTTAATTTAAATAATTATCAAGGTTGAAAATTGAATTACATTTCTACATGTTTAAGTATAGGGTTAATTATTCACTGTGTCTGACTAGTTGAAAGTACAGTTATGATAGCACCACTTCAGTGACAAAAGCCAGTAGTCAATGTACAGTTTCTTTATCTTAATAAAGTTTCTATATCTTATAACGCTAGAATCCAGGTTTCGATACTCGTGGTGGGTAGAGCAGAGATAGCCCATTGTGTAGCTTTGTGCTTAATTACAAACAATCCTCTCTATTTGGTTTTCTTTCTTCAGTTTTTTTTTTTTTCTCCAGTTTTTGTCCTTTTTCTCTTTTCATGATGCAAAATTTGTCACAAATGCTTAAAATTTCAAAATTATTTTTGTATGTTTTGGAAAGTTATTGGAAAGAATATTTACCCCTATATACATACTGAGCACTTGCAATCATGTCAAGTGCAGCTATCTTACTACAGACCATGGAGTTTATATACAAAAGGAAATTAACCACCTGTCACTTTGATTCAAGGTTATGCATAATTAAGTTGCAGTACAGTTTTGGTCATTGGAACTGAAATGGTTTGCTTACTCAAAATCTTATTTTGATGTGCCAATTTTCTAAATTATATTTGTTCTATAGCTTTTTGATCAGATTATTCTAGAGTAAACTTGTAATATTTACCGATGATAAAGTAAGTACAAATAGATATTCCTTTAATTTTCTCTTCAGGCAAGTATGGTGGTGGTTGTGGGATCTAGAGCACATTTGGAAAAGGAGTCTATTGCACAGGTTTGTAACTATATTTGTAACTATAAAACTGACAGTTTTATTTCTGCAACTTCTCTTTTAATTCCTAAAACACCCATTTACAGGACTAATATATAAAAAATAAAATAAATTTCCTAAGAGGTGATGTGTACAAAGGATATAATATTTTTGGTTTACTGTACTTTTAAAATAAACTGATCCATGGAGGTAGGCTCCTTTTGTGGCTGTTTTTCTTTGTAACCATTATAATACTTGTGTATATTTATAATGAAACATATATATGTATAATGTAATATTTATTAAGTAAGCCGTTCACTACGTTATACAGAGATCAGTATTCCGGACCTTCTTGATGTTTGGGTTCCACTTTGTGGTGTGGCTCTTTGCTGTCAGAGGTATTCGAGACACTCAGTGTGGTTTTAAACTTTTCACTCGTGAAGCAGCTAGGCTCTTGTTTCCTAATCTACATGTGAAACGTTGGTAGGTGAATTAAATTTTTAATATATTTAGAGTATTGTTTGACAATCTTCATTTGCTTAGATTGAACAAACTGAAGATTGTTAAGTGATATTACATTCTGTAATTTTGTAAGTGTTGACTCATTTCAACAAGAAGATTAATTTACATCATAAATAATTATTTTAATGCTTATGAAAGACATGGAACATCCATATTTTAATGTTTACAATATTTTTTAAATTCTAATCTGCTAATATATAATCAACATACCAAGACAACTGTGTCAGAGTTCCTAGATCTACAACATGGAACAGTGCCGTATCTACACACCTTTTACAACACATTGTTCCTAGATCTACAACATGGAACAGTGCCGTATCTACACACCTTTTACAACACATTGTTCCTAGATCTACAACATGGAACACTGCCGTATCTACACACCTTTTACAACACAGAGTTCCTAGATCTACAACATGGAACAGTGCCGTATCTACACACCTTTTACAACACAGAGTTCCTAGATCTACAACATGGAACAGTGCTGTATCTACACACCTTTTACAACACAGAGTTCCTAGATCTACAACATGGAACAGTGCCATATCTACACACCTTTTACAACACAGTTCCTAGATCTACAACATGGAACAGTGCCATATCTACACACCTTTTACAACACAGAGTTCCTAGATCTACAACATGGAACAGTGCCATATCACACACCTTTTACAACACAGAGTTCCTAGATCTACAACATGGAACAGTGCCATATCGACACACCTTTTACAACACTTTTATTGTATATTAATCTTTAAAAATTACAACTTAATGTTGTTGACTTGAATCCTTTATTGTGTATAACAATTTTATGACATCATTGCTATATTTTTCTGGTTGGATTTCAGTGATCTCTGCAAAGTTTACAGATGTCTTACAACCATATTTTAGATGAAGCTAGCCGTACTTGGATGTCTACTGTTAGATTATTTTTTGAAAGTTTTCAGTTAGTGGGAAAATGTTTTAATAAAAGTACACCAACCCCAATTTTCAGTGAAAGAAGAAGGCTTGTCTTTATCTTTTATTAGCTGAGCCAACTAAAACTTTTCAACTTTGGAATTGTTTTTGGGTGGTGTACTAAATCCTTATTGAGGAACAAAATGCACTGTAGGTTTTGACCTAATTTTCAACCACTAGATGCTTTTTACCACATGCAATATACTGTATCTATCAAAGCAACAGAAGTAGTTCTTGGCTTTCTACCTGCAATTGGTTAAAGATACAGTGCCTTAGTTCCATTTTCTTACATATTGATGGATCTTTTCATAAATCTACCATCACATTTTCAGCTGATTTATTTATTTTCTATCATGCCATATGTGTCCCTATCCATAATATAATAAACTTATCAACAGCTTAATTTTGTCTATATTTCCTTAGTTAGTCAGTAGCTTTTTATGTTTAATTATACTTTCTCCAACCAGTCAACAGCTTTTATTCCTGTCGCTACTTTCTCCAGCTAGAACAGCTTTTTATCTCTGTCGTTTCTTGCTCCAACCAGTTCACAACTTTTTACTTTTGAACATTTGTTTCTCCAACTAGTGAACAGTTTTTATTTATCTCTGTTCTTATATTATTCCTTTAGTCAGAAGCTTGTGTCTCTGGCAATGCTTCCTTCAATTAGATAACGCATTATTTGTATAAAGGGATTGAACATTACTTTTTTAGATGTTTTGAGACTTATTTATTTTATAATTTGTTATTCAAGAAATTAAATAAATCTAACTTAATCTGATAATACATGTAGGTGCACTTAATGTATTGAGTTAAATTGTGCTCATTATCTTATTGTGTAATAAAATTTATGTTTTAGTTTTTGTTGATCTTGGAGATTTTGTTTCTCATGCTGTTTCATGAACAGGGCCTTTGATGTAGAACTGCTATATCTAGCTCAGTACTTTCAAATTCCTATCAGTGAAGTGGCTGTGAAGTGGACAGAAATAGAAGGTGAGTTCAAGTGCAGAGATGACCTTAAGCACATGTAGCATAATTAAAATGAAGTGGTTAAACTGGATGATCTACAGTATACTTATTGGTGTTGTTGAATGTTTTAACAATGTTTATTTAACCATAAAGTAAATACAAACTAGTGAATGTTGTTAAATACTACTTTCAATATGAAAAACAGAGCATGAAAATACTGAATTTAACCCTTTATGGACAAGAGAGCACCTTTCAGGTGTTGGTGCATATCAGGATGACATTGTAACGTC